TCAAGCTCTGGCTTTATTGACTGCATTGTTCTCAACAGTCAATTATTTGAAAGGTAGTATGTGATTTGAAGTGTGTTTTGTGCATGGTTTGTGATGGCAACATTTAGTTAGAGTTTAGCTATTACTCCAAGCTGACTGTAGCTCCAGTCAGTTCAGTATTGGTCATTTGCCTAGATTTGAGTAAGATTTTCCATGTCACCAGGAAGGGGGTGAGGTCTGTCGTTGCACCCAGTCATATTAAATTATTCAGATACCATCTCTATTTTTCACAGAAACACAGAGCCACACATAGTGAGACACCTTCAAACAGTAGAAAAGTAGACTAACCACCATGCACTCCACGGGGAGTTTACTGAACATGGGACTTTCTTTAAACCAGCAGATACTCAAAAGTGCAATGCCCCACAATAACACCTGCACCGTTTTTCAGGTTTGCCTGTCTGAAAATATTTTGATGAGCATATGAAGTCTTTGTGTGGCTGCCTACAAAGCCAGTCTTCCACAGCGCTTTGTCTCACTATAAATGGCACCAAGCACACGCACAGCCTTTTGATCCCTCACTCAAGCCCCTTGTCTTTGCCACTCACTTTCAGCAATGAAAAAGCCTGTATGCTAACAAGGGTCTGGGGAGTGAGCTGCATTTGTGCTGGTCACTATCAACATAATAGTGAGCATGAATCAGTCCATTTTCAACCAACATTAAAGGCAGAGAACATAAACAGCTAAGTTTCTTTATCTGTCTGCCATCCAGCATCTGTGTTCTGCTAATTAATCTGAACGGTGCTTTTAGTAAAAAGTTCATTTATTTATTTATTATTTGGGGATGATTTTTCATGCTCGGCCTTTGAACTGCTGTGATCTTTGATAGCAGTGTGCAGGGGCACCGCTAAGGGGGGGAAAGTTAGGACGATTCTAAGGGCCCACACACTTTTGGGGCCCCCAGAGATCTGTTTTACTACTGTAACAGTAGTAGTAGTAATGTTATAGAAATTATAAATGTATCTACCAAAGAGATACAAATAAAACAAAATTACGGCTTATTTCTGCATTTCCAGCAAAATTATTTCCCCCCATTCACTGCATGGTTTTGTCCCGTCCTACGTAGCCTAGAGTTGCGAGTGAGATCAGATGGTAAACTGTCAAATTAGAGATGTCTTCGAGTTCAAGGGGTGGGGGCAAACCGAGCCGGACGATTTGGTCAGACGCACTTTTAAACACATTTTAGTTTTGCTATAGAAAATCTTCAAATTCACAATCTGATTACATAGAGCAGCGGGGTATCCTATTTATTATTTTAGGATTTCTTTGTTTGCCCCAGTGAAGCGTTTCTATTAATATAACCGATTAAGCAGTCAAACTCATTCCATGTCAGCAGAATAGTGTGGTACAGAAAGTCTATGTCCATAAAACAGGTTCTGAATGAATTATGTTACTGATACCTCATGGTCAAAAGCAATAAGCAAAAGTAATAGGTCAACATTATTAAATTGCAGACAAAGATTTTGAATAGCTAGGCTGGCCTGCACAATATATTGCCAAAAGTATTGGGACACCCACTTCTAATGAACAGGTTTGACTACTTTAGTAATTTCCATGAGTACAAATCTTAATGTTTAAGCATATAGTGATATTCTAGGGAATTGTGTGCTTCTAATTTTATACCAATAGTTTGAACAGGACCCTTTTCTATTCTAACACGGCAATGCCTCTGTGTATAAGGCAAGGTTAAAAAAAAAGGTTGATTCAGTCAGTGTGGAAGAACTTGACTGGTCTGCATAAAGCCAAGTCCTAATCCCAGCTGAACACCTCTGGTGTGACTTTAAATGCAGACCCTGAGCCAAAAACTCACCACCAAACACCTGTGACTTGTACATACATATGGACAAATGTATTGGGACACCCCCTTCTTTAGAACAGAAAAAGGCACTTCCAAACCTGTGGCATCAAAGATGGAAACATAATTCATGTATTTAAAGAGATTTATCTTTTTTGCCACAGTTTTGGAAGTGTCTAAAATGATTGTACGCATATGTACAAGTCATTGGTGTTTGGCGATGAGTTTTTTTGTTTGTTTTATTGAGTTTTCCCAATACTTTGGGCAATATAGTGTATGTTTGGTGCGGTAGGGGGCCCAACCTCATATTCTTTCATAGGGCCCAAAATTGCTAGCGGCGCCCCTGGCGGTGTGTAAGATTGTAGCTTGTGTGTCTGTTTTATCAGGTGAATAGGTGTCGTTCTTTGGTCCAAATGGTTTATTTCTTTATCATTTCATTTTCACTATCCTTTAATCCTTTTCTTTGATAGTTCTGCTTATTTCTACTTTCTTTCATCTGCTCACCCCCAGTTTTTCCGCTGTATCCCTCGTCCTTTGATTCAGTTGAGCCACCCAGTTCCCAAATGGAATCAAGGGTAAACTACAATGATAATGACAGTATAATATCCTCTCTTCCCAGACCGGTTTCTCAGATAAAACAAAAATATCTTTAAAGTGGGTGATCTGTAGTGAAGGACTCTCTCACTTCATCTGTCACCTGTCTGGCTTTAGAGCTTTGCTGTTTCTCATTACATCAAAGCATAAGAAGCATCATTGTGGTCTCTTCACAGCCTTATCTCAGATCAGCTAAGCCTGGATACTGGTTTTATCCATGCAAATGATCAGGTGATAGTATGTGTGTCATCAGATTAAAAAAGAACGCTTGTTGCGTGCATGTGCAACATAGTGAACAAGCAGCATTGTATGCTTGCATGTGTGCATACCTTTTATGCAGTATTTAATAATAAAACCGTAATATAAAATCAATAAAATGCTACAAGGTTACACACTATTACACTGTGAAACTGTATAAACTATATACAAAAATCCCATTCTTTATCAAACAAATACCATGTGTGCTAATGCACGTTTTCATGGTAAAGGGCCGTGTTAGTCACCCAGTCACACAGGACGGTGTGCAGGTGTGCATATATGTGGCAAGCGGAGGGCTGAGGATTCAGCCTTCAGGACCACCAGCTGGTCCACGTCGCATTAGACAGATCATGCAGCAGATAGATTATGCAAGCCAACCCATGTGAGCTTCATGTAAATGTATCCAGTCTGGCCTGTGTATTATTTAAGCAGTATCACACAAGCTGCAAGCAAGAGTGCTGTCGTAATACTGTTCAATAAACAAGGAGTTGATACTCAATATCTTACATTTTAGGGTATGTTTACATGACAACGATGTACTAAAAAAATGGAAAGGTTTATCCTTTGGGTTTTTGAAAAGTTTTTGTATAGACGACAACGTTGTTAAAACGATCCCTCTTCACACGTATCTGGGACAATGACTAGAAATGCTGTATTATGCATGCCAGGCCCATAGTTGGTGATGTCACTTTGTAAAGAAACACTACACACCTGGTGCAACCGGCTCCTGCACACATAGATACCTTTAGCCTGAACATGTAATACGCATGCGCAGGACCAGATTTACCGCTTATTGTGACATAGGCTAAATGCCCCCCTCCCCCAAACATTAATATATAACTAGTATTGCCACCCCAGCAAACAAAAATAGCAAAGAATAGCAAAAATATTTCGTAATCAGGTGAAACCATCGAATGTATGAACCATCTTAATTTGTTTGAGAATGGAGAAAGACTGTTCCATTAATAGGCTCTGGCGTCGTGGCGGCATTAATTTCTTACGCACATTATCCAAAACCTTCCATTGCTAATACCAAAACGTCAGCGGAGGCTTGAGTCATTGATATTCAAGCTAATGTAGTTATTAATGCAGTCTAATGCATTTGTGAGAGAGAGTGGAAGAAGGAAAGCGTGCTTTCCATAAATAAAAAAGGTGGAAAACATGCAAATAGTTTGTCTTATCTTATATTTATTCGCTCATTGACTTTTGGGGTTTTGGTTCTTTTGCTGTTTTAGGTAGCCCGTAGTATAACAAAAATATTATATACTGTATCTCTGTATATCACATGCCTAGAAAGCCTATGTGTAAATCCGGCCCTGCGCATGCACATGACTTCACCATTTTCACAAATTAGCATTTTTTTGTAGTTTACAAAAAAGACAATAATGGTTTCATTTTCAAACACTTGCACTTTAAAGCCTGTTTTCAAAAGTTTGTATTTTCAGGCTCCCAAAATGCTGTTGTTGTGTAAATTTTTCCGTTTTTAGTTGAAAACAGTGTTGTGTAAATGCCCCCTTTGACACAATTTTGACGGTTATTTTAGCTATTTTCACTTTGACAATTAATTTGTTTTCTAATCAAAGCTCCTTTGAGCAAGACAGTTATTTTTTTGCTCCTGAATGAAAGTGTTTATGAGCAAATTGTTTTAGTGAATGATTCAATGACTAATTCATAAAGACAGCTTGTTGTTTCATTCCTGAATAAATCAGTGTTTTTGAACAAATCATTTGAGTGAATGATAAAACGCCATCCACTGGCATATTGATGTAACTTGCAGAAAGAGTCAATGAAAAACAGTCAGTATTATCAACAAAAACTAAAACCAAAACTACTAGTTCATTAAAAAGTTTATATAAAGTTCAAAGTGGAGTACAAAACATAAAAACTTAAATAGAATATATGGGAAAATAAATGTTAAATTAAAAATAATAATGACAAAAGGACACAACAAAATTATTAGAACTTAAACTAAATTTAGATTTAAAACATAAAAATAAATGAAAATGTTTTCAGCACTAAAAGCTCATTCAAAACATCAATAAACATTATAATAGTATATATAAGAAGTATAGTGTAAAAATGTTTTGTCAGATAACCTAACATCTTCAACTGACTTTTACTGAAGTATTATTTGATGTGTCTGTACCAACCTGACTACTTTAGGTTACACCAAACAGAAGTTATATTTAAGATTGATATACTAGGTTGTTACAGTGTAAGATTTAAAAAGTGACGTTTGTTTGGTTTACCTCAAGAATTACACATTTATTGGTTCTTTAAACTTAAGCAAAGCTGTTGTTTTTAATATGGGAACAAAGTTTAATAATTTCATATACTGCGTACAACTGGATGCTCAGCACCATTCAGTTTTCATCTCCTAGATTAGTTTTGCATTTAGAATGACTTGGAGAACAACCTTGATATTATTGCGACCCACTGAATGTATCCTCCCTCTTGATTTTAGCTGATGAGTGTGAAAGTAATTTCCTTCAAAAATGGTGCAAGAGCTGATTTGAATAACAAACTATGTATAGACTTGATCTGCATAAAATCATGGTAGGTGCACATGGATTGGCTGGATGGTTTTGGCAGGATCTTTTCATAGATGAGAAAATAACCCAGCTGTGGTTATTGCAGGTGGCTCATCTGAATCAGTCTCTCCCACATTCATAGGCAAATGAGCGGACCGAGTGACGCTGTGACTATCAGAGTGTAAATGCACTTCCTCCTGACTTGTTGTAGGTTTAAGTGTGTCACTGGGCAGCATGACGGAGGTGATGAACAGCTGTGACTCCGCGGTGGGAGACTACAGTGTGAGCGGTGCATCTGAGGAGCAGAACATCTCTTTTCAGGTTGGTTGCGCTCCTCTTAGTCAACTGGCTGGATGCTCTCTTGAAATTCATATCAATGTTTTTATTCAAGCCACAGGAACAGGGCTAATGAAATGCAAAAACAAGTAAGGAATAATATATAGTCATTTTCAAATACAGGGATTTAATATAGATTATGATCACCTGACTTATTAAATTGCTATTTGCCAAAAATAAATAAATACAAGAAATAAAAATAGAAAGACAAAGGGAATGCATGGACATGAAATATTGATTTGAGTTCTTTTAAATTAATTTTTATTTCCTTACATGGATGTTAACTAATTTAATAGTTAATTTAATTGAAAAATAACTGGTCTAGAAACAGAACAAACACTGCAATGTACATTTGTACAATCTAAAATGTAAATTTTAAATTAATTTGTATAATTATAATAATTAAATTTCATCTGCAATCCGTCCTTTTTTGTGGACCTACAATGTAACATGTCTTCCTCTATTTCCCTTTAAATTTCTGGTTCGCTGTTTTTAGCATTGCTTGGCGATGTTTTAATTTTCTAGGGAACTCCTAGTCTTCTGCCAGAAGGTTTATGCTTACAATCATTTTTTATACTGAAGTGTGATTTGCAAGATGGCGCCAGTGAGAAATTCTAACTTGTGACAGAGAATGAAAAGAGAGAGGTCCGCAATAGGCCTGTCGCAATAATCAATATATCGACTTATCGCGCATTTCTTTTTTTCTATTTGTTACTTTGCACTTTTTGTTAGAAAAATGTTTATTTACTATTTATTCAGGTTTTTTAAGGTATCTAATATTTCAATATTTAATTTCCATGATCTATATATTCTTAAAAATTAAACGTTTTTTGGAAGTGTGTAGGCCTTCTTGCATTATTATGCTGTTACATTATGATTATATATTAAGTGGCATAAAATGGTCTTTAAAATGACAATAATATTGCTTATCGCAATTATTTCTGGGGCAATATATCGCACAACAAAAAGTTGTTATCGTGACAGGCCTAGTCCGCAAAGCAATATGAGAGACCTGAAAATAGCACCATTATGTTGTCATAGACAACGATAACATATATATTTAAAGCCCGTTCTCACATTAAGAATGATAACTATAACAATAACTGTTTTAAGTGGGTGGGAAACCGGGGAAAAAAAAAAACTCATGCAAAAGTTCCAAAGTTTAAATTTGATGAACTCTGTCTTGCATTGTCATTGTCATGTGACCTACCAGCGTCAGTTGCGTCACTTCACTGCCATTCACAAATCTCTCCCTTGGCAACATGGGATAGTAAAGTGTAAAGAAGTAGTAGGTCATCTGGAATACTGTAAATTCGGACATACTGCTCCCCAGCTAACAGGGAATGTTCTCAGAATGGTGGCTAACATTCTAGTAAGGTTCTCTCACAGTTACAAACAAACATATTGTTAATAGAACATTATTTCGGCGTTATCTGGTCTTTTATAATGTTCTCAAAACATTAACACAAAAATAGTATACATTATTCATGGAATTTTTTTAACAATTTAGTTCGATGTTCATCTAACATTTTCTAAAATGTTACTACTTGTTTCAGAACATTCAGAGAACGTTCAAAACTAACATTCCCACAATGTTGGCAAAATGATAAAGAATAACATTCACATAACAACAACAAAACTGATGTTTCGAACATTCAGAGAATGTTAGAAAAACATTATTAGTTTTTTTTAGCTGGGTCTTTTAGGTGTTTTTAACCTACTATATAGTAGGGAAGTATGCGATTTTGGATGCAGCCATACTTTAAAGCTTCTGAAAGTGACTCTAAAGGGCCATTCACATAGAATGCAAAATCTATAAACGCATTTTTTAAAAGTTTAACTTCTTTTAACAAGTTGCGTTTTTAGAATGCTGTGTCATGCACAAGACAATGCAAAAGATGCACGGCATGTGTGCAACAGTCAAACAAGTCCATCTAGTGCATGTTTTGCATAGAAAATTAATCAAAAAGTGGCACAATGGAATGTGAACGACCCCCTAAAGGTATCATTCCTCTGTGTCCTTTATAGTTGTGCTATGGATACTATTCTCATAGAACTGTAGTTTTCATTCTTGGTGTGTCCATTAAGTGGCATTTTACAAAAACATTTGAGCATTCAGACCCACGATTGACCAATCAAAATCAGCTATTCCAGAGAGCAGGGTAGGTTACATTTTAAGTCATGGTCAGACACACATACATGCTGAGTGTTTTTCCGGTTACCTGATAGATGACTGTGATGGGTCTAGGTGGGTCTAATTGGAGCTTTACCTCCATTATTTCAGCCTGATTGGAGTCCCTTTCATTTTGCTCACATCACTACAAAAAGCCAAACAGATGCCTGCTCGTTCATACAGCCTGCTGGATGAATTCAGATTCCTCTCAGACACTCAAGAGAGACTCGAAAGGTCACAATCTTTTCAGGAATTGAACATCATTACCCTTTCTTTACCACAGGATGAGCAGTGCTATCATATGCTAGCTGAATGAAACATGTCTGAATCTGTCATTCACTCTGTCATACGCTCTTTCTGTGCTGTGTAAACCAACATGCAATGCACACCCTTTTCCACTGTTGGTGCAGATGCTTTTAGAACATTCACGTCTCACTTGATACCCCACGTTGCAGACACACACTCAAGACGCTCTTGTTCACACTTCACTGCAATTGTGGAGAAATAAACATACACAGCGTGAGTCACATTCTGCTCTCATGAACTCGGCTGTGCTATGGCAATAAGACTCACACAAGGCGTGAGGTGAATGCCAAACACATCATTAATAAAAACCCATCAAGGAGTTTTTGATGGAACTGCAGGAGGGGAGCTTTTGTAAACATATATTTATCCCCCCCCCTGATTGCTTATAATGGGAATGCACTGAAAATTTCAAGTAGGATTTAGTGCTAAAGGCTTCCAAGGTTAAAACAGGTTGACCTGATAACAGCCTGCCTTAAAAATTATTTTTAATAGGCATTTTTTGTTTTGTTTCCCAGTAAATATTTGATAAAACATATCTGAATATATATAATTTTTCTTTACTTTTTTGTGTTAAGCACAAAAGAAACAAAGTTTTGTGAGGTTTGTGCTAAAATGAAAACTTCTGCTTCCAATAGGATGGTTTAATGAGGTCCTTAGATCTTTAACAGAGGAAGTAAAGGTCAAATCATGCTGTTTCATGAAAACTGTTGAGAACTTTAGCTCACTGAACTGTCATGTACTGTGGCCTCTTATGATCCCTGTCTTATAGATCTCCCCAGACTCCCACGAACGGTTCCCAAAGCTTTCCAAACGCTTGCCATCCATCGTGGTTGAACCCACTGAGAGCGGGGAGGTGGAGAGCGGGGAACTCCGCTGGCCTCCTGATGATCTGAGCCCTACAGACGACCCCAGAGACAAACAGGCCAAGGCTGCAAGTAAGTTCATGTTAACCATAATAAGAACGTCCCCTTTAAGTTTACTGTTATTCTCTTTAATCTCACATTTTTTAATTTTTTCCCCCTCAAAATATTAATTTTAACACAACACATAAATCTTCGTCATACTATATGCAATACTGAAAACATTTATACACAACACAAAATGGTAACATCTATATGAACTGGTCTTAGTCAAAAATATTATTTAACATCCATGAATCCACCTAAATACATTGATTTATACAAACAAAACAATTTATTTATTTTTTGTTAAATAAGAAGAAGCTCTTTATGATTTTTTTTTTTTTAAAGTCTCTTATGCTCATCAAGGCTGCATTTCTTTGATCAAAACTACAGAAACACATTAGAAATATCATTACAATTTAAAATAACTATTTTCTATTGTAATATATCTTAAAGTGTATTTTTTTCCTGTGATTGCAACGCTGAATTTTCAGCAGCCATTACTCCAGTCTTCAGTGTCACATGATCCTTCAAAAAATAATCTAATATGCTGATTTGATGCTCAAGAAACACGTATTATTATCAATGTTGAAGACAGTTGTGCTGCTTAATATTTTTGTGGAAACCGTGATATATTTTTCAGTATTCTCTACTTTCTTTTCTGTCACTTTTGATCGATGTAATGTATCCTTGCTGAATAAATGTATTAATTTTTCTAAAAGCTCTAAAAAATTATTATATCGATGCCAAACTTTTGATTGGTACTGTCCGTAAAAAAAATGTTGTTGTAAATTTTTAAAAATTTAATTTCAAATGCAGTTTAGCACAATTCGAAATGCAGTCTTGTAGCATCAGATGCAGATGCATTTACGGAAATCTAATTTACGGGATGTTTGAATATATTGTGTTTGTATTTCAGGTGACAAGGCCACAGAAGACAGCCAAGAGGTCGCAATAGCGACAGAAAACTAATGGGCGATGGTTGGCACCAATCCAGCCAATCACTGTGAATGTCTTCATTATGGACAGGAGTGAATGGGAGACTCCACCAGTTAGGTCTGCCTATCATATCATCCACACTAGAGCCGCCCACCAGCTGACCTTCACTCCCCTAGGTGGAGCCGAGGCCTGAGAGACTGTCTTAACTGAGCTATCTCACGTGCCAAACTCTAGTGGTAGTCAGCTGCTGTGATTGAGTTGTAAAAGATCTCCAGTAACACCATGATACCCATTAGAAGTCACCTATGCCTGCTAAATTATAGATTGGCATTCATTTATGTATTTATTTGCTTTGGACCAAAGTCTTTCATTCCTTCCTATCAAAAGGACATATAGCTTCAGGATATTAATTTGATGTATTATATCAGCATACATTAAGTGAAAATGGATTTCAGATGATATGTAAATTAACTATAGAGTGCATAATGGCCAGTGTAGATTTCAAACTTTACGCCATGTACAGTATATCTCAGTTTGTTTTCACGTTCACTTAGGCTTTTCTTCTTAACATGCTTTCCAGATTTGCACATATTCTTTGGCACTTGCATTAATTCTGTTATTCACATCGCTGCTGCTTATTTACTAGTGTTCGTCAGAGCTGCTGTAAATGTAGCTTTCTTTGCCTTAGACATTTATTTGTAGTTACACTGTATGTCATAATTTAAATGAAATGACTGTTTGCATATAAGACGGTCATTATTTTACCCATCATATGTATCTGTCACCTTCCTAAAGCGAAACTTTTTTGGTGCTTCAGAGTCTGTTGAATATCACTGTATTCTGTTACAAATCTACTGCTCTTTTGATGTTTGAGTATTAGTCTTAAAATATGAATAATCTGTCTGGGAATGGGAATGAATGCAGCACAGTATCACTTAGCATTAAAGGCAGTTATTTCTACATCCGTGCTCTGTTGATTCATCAAATGAATGTATGTAGGATCCAGCCTTGACACATCACTGATTTCTTGTGGGTAGATGTCAAGTACTAGCCAAAGGCACTTCTAGTTGAATACTGTGTTGACACGAGCAATAGTTATTCTAGCCCAGCAGCATCAGCAGCTCTAAGCAGTTGATGTTTTCCAGCCACAGGCATTGCTGGAGCAGTTTTAGGGGGCTTCAGCCCCCCTTGTCTTTCATCTCAACCCTCCTAAAACTGTTCCCTTTAACTCAACTGTCGGATCCCTTTAAAATCTGTAATAATCTTCAGCATGTTTGCTGTAGCGACTGCAGTATCTGAGGTTAAGTAAGGCCTTTAAAAACTTTTTTTTTACTTCCAAACAAGGTTGTCAAGTACATTTTAGGTGTTTGTCTAAACTTTCCTTGTTAAAAATTACATTCATTGGGGGTATTTAAATTTATTTGAGTTTCAATTCATTGTAATTCTACAGATCTTTCTTCTGTGAAAAACAATACTGTTAGTTCCATACATGAATGCCAGTGGGGTCCAAAATAACATTGCACCCAAGTTCAACAGTTGAAGAAATAAAAATCCCATTCTTTTTTTTTCTATATGGGGGAACTGATAAACCTCTACGATGGACCTACTGTGAGCTATGAGCTTGCTAATGGATGGTGCATAGTTTGTTGAAAATATGTTTTTATATATATACAATCAACCTCTTCAAATCAATAGTTTTATCCAAGGTCATTGACATTCGCAATGATTGCAGTTCTTTCCTTCAGTAAAGCTGTTAAAGGGATAGTTCACCTAAAAATGAAAATTCTGTCATCAATTAGTCACCACTGAATTCCAAAGTATTTCTCCCATACTATGGAAGTCAATGGCCACTGGCAACTGTTTTGTTACCAACATTCTTCAAAATATCTTCTTTTGTGTTCAACAGAAGAAAGAAACTCATACAGTGTTAGAACAACTTGAGGGTGAGTAAATGATGACAGAATTTTCACTTTTGGGTAAACTATTCCTTTAAGTATACACATGACCTTTTGTCATTCTGTTTGATTTTCAAACACTTTTTTGCTTCAAGTTAAAGTTTGTAATGTTGTCAATCACCTCGTAGATGGTTGGTTTGTTTCATGGCTCATAACTCTTTTTGAAAATCCCTATCGGAAAAAATAAGTGGGTGCTTAATTCAGGGGTGTCCAATCCTGCTCCTGGAGGGCCACTGTTCTGCAAAGTTCAGCTCCAACCCCAATTAAACACACCTGAACCAGCTAATCAAGGTCTTACTAGAAACTTCCAGGCAGGTGTGTTGAGGGAAGTTGGAGCTAAACTCTGCAGGACAGTAGCCCTCCAGCACTGAGTTTAGACACCCCTGACTTGATTGAGTGGTAAAGAAAAACAAAACACTGAGACATTTTCAAAATGTGATCTTTTATGTTCCACAGAAGAAAGTCATGTTTGGAACTACATGATGGGTGAACATTACCTTTAAAATTATCTAACTTTACTCTATTCAAAGATTGGCTTGTTCAGACCTCTCCCAGAATTCACAATCCTGCCCTTTCCGAGTCTCAAGTTCGCTACCTCCTTTCTAAACGAGGCTGAGGACCATGTATGTTCAGGTAGAGAGAGCTGTCACGTCGCGTTTGTGCTCTCCAGTGGAGACTCTCCCCAGACGGAGCACTAAAAGCACATCGTCAGGTGGCTCCTGGGAAATGAACCACTGTGAAGTTCAGCCACCTCCAGCGAGAGCGGCGACCTGACAGGCCGGAGATGATTTTCACTCATTTTCTGCCACTGAATGCTGCTGGCAGAGTGACCTTGTTTGGAGCCGCAGGTTTCCGAAAATAAACGTCACTCTCAAACATGTTTTTCTCAAAGAGATCTCAAAGGATCTCGAAGATACCAAAGCTCGCTTGAGTGAGAGATATTACAGTTCCCCGTCCCCGTCACGGAAGCTGCCGGTATGAGTCGACTCTGATTTATAAGTGTTCCTACGCATGCTCATGCACCCACACATGCAGAAATACACAACTACAGTGCAGCCAACACACTTGAACAATCTTAAAGGCTTTTTTTCCCCGGGCCTCTGTGAATAATGAAGGTTGGAACCGTAGGTGGACCAAACATGTCATGTTATTTTGAAGACTAAAGCTTTCTGGCACACTTCTCAGAGAGTTCTTAAAATCCGAGGCAGTGTTTAAAATATGTGTATCTACCTCTAGCCTCCATTAGTTCTTAAATTAGCCAAGTATTTCACAGTGTCGGGCTTTCAGATTGATACAGCCCCTTTGACTCGGTGTTAAAAAGGAGTTTCATGCCCATTCTGCTGCGGTCCGTGGCTCCGCTTCATAATATGTCAATCGGCACCGACAGCAGCAGCGGGACGCACGGCACCTACCTATTATAAAGTGAGCGCTGCACACCTGCCCCATTACTCACTCCCACACTGCCCACCTCCATATCCAACCTTCTTTTATTTATCATTTCATCCCTCCCTCTCTTCCTCTCTTGTTCTCTGTCTCTCATTTGCTGGAGAGCTCTTCTGATGTGCTTGTCCTTTGGGACTTTGAGCTGTGGTGTTACCATAGCAACCACCTTGTCAAGCAGGCATCAGAGTCCTGTCTTTCTCCAGCGGCAGCGCGCCGCTGAGCGCTCTTCCCCACTGACTTTGTTTGACTTTATCATAATAAATTTTTGTGCTATATTAGTGCTGCTATTAATCAGCGGTGAGGCGAAAAATAGCATGCTTCTTTGATTGGTTCGATGTGGGAAGCCTTTTGTGGTGCTGAAATGTTTACTTAAACGTGCCTCCTGATGCAGACCGAGCCTGCTGTGCGCGTGGACAGACAAATGCATCAAGTTACGCAGAAACAGCTTTCACATGCCTGCGCATACATATTCCTGGCCACTTCAGGTCACTCATACTCATTTTTCTACCTTGTTAAAAGACCTGCATTGCTGGTGACCATCTTACGTTGGTTTTTGGATGCTAAACCAAGCCTCCTTTGGTCAACCAGCTTCTTCAGAAAGACCATGCTGGTTGTTTGTGGTGTGGATATGGTGGTGCACCAGCTATGGCACCACACTAGCAATAATCCAGCTTGGACCAGCATGGAAATTCAGGTTATTTAAGTTTGTTTGGTTCTTGTCATGTTCATTTAACCTCCTGAGACCCAGCTTTGGAGTTTTTGTCTCTGTAGTGGACATTATATTTTAGTGAATTTCTCTGAGACCTCACATGTCACAGTGTTCAGTCTGGATGTACAGAGCATATTCAGGGCTTTTCAGAGATACCAAATGTTTGGAAGTTTCTCCATGACCACTCCCTCTGCTTGGTCTTTAAAAATGGCTGACATTAATTTAGTGATACAATTGTACATTCTTATGGAAATATGATCATATTTTGTAATTATCATTTAAATCTTGATTCGTTTTCAAATTGTTTGTCATAAACCAACATCTCAGGAAAATGTTATTGGGTTTCAAACCAAAATATGACTTCCTGTTATGAAACAGGAAAATGGTGTATCAAATCATTCTGTTATAACAGTTGAGAATCATCCTTATACAAAGTTTGGTATAAAAAATCCTGAAACCTAAAAATTGATTGGTGAGTTTTTTAAAACTCCCATTGTTTTTGCCTTTTCATGTCTATTCGTGTCATTTTTTTTTTTTTTTGAGTCCTGGGACATAGCATAACATACAGTATGAATAAAATATATATTTTTTAAATATATATTTTCCATTTTTTTCTTAAAGGAAAGTGACCTGGAAGGGCCAAGTTTGCCCACCCCTGCTCTAAACCATGTAATGACATGAAAAAATACTAAATTCACAAAGCTTTTTCCCCCCCTGGTTCTCAGGAAGTTAAGTCTTTGTGTAGTGTTCTCCAACAGCTGACCATGGCATGGATATACTGGTCCATTGTCACAGTTATGTTCTGTTAGTTCATGGACTTTTAGTTTGTATTTCTTCAGTTCCTGTTTTCTTTTGTTGGTATTCCCGCACTTCCTGGTTGCTATGGTCACTGTCATTATGAGTTTGATCTGTTGAGCTGTGTTAGATTAATTATCTCGTTTGTGTTTGCTTTATAAGTTGTACCCTTACCTGCTCTCTTTGTCCGGTCTCGAATCACGTACAGTATACATGTGTTTGACGCCTGCCTGTCTTGGTAGATGGTATTATTAAACTCTATTTGGAACTTTATTCATCTGTCTTTGTCTGTATTCCTGCAATAACATTCATAAGCACTTTACAATAAGGTCCCATTAGTTAACATTAGTTAAAGGAATAGTTCACCCTAAAATGACAGTTTGCTGAAAATGTACTGACCCTCAGGCCATCCAAAATGTAGAAGAGTTGGTTTCTTCATCGGAACAGATTTGGAGAAATTTAGCATTGCATCACTTGCTCACCAATGGATCCTCTGCAGTGAATGGGTGCCGTCAGAATGAGAGTCCAAACAGCTGATAAAAACATCACAATAATCCACAAATAATCCACATGACTCCAGTCCATCAATTAACATCTTGTGAAGCGAAAAGGTACATGTTTGTAGGAGGCAAATCCATCATTAAGGTGCAAATCTGTTTTAACTCATCTACATCTTCAGCAAATTTTTTGTTTTTGGTGAGTTATTCCTTATAGTTATTTTAATATAAAAGTATTATTAAATGAGTTGAATCATTATTTAATAATAAGTAGTAATAAATGTTTAAATTATAACTTTAAATAAGATTAATACGTTCTTTAGAAGTATTTTTATTTGTTAGTTCATGTTAATTAACTACAGTACAAATGGAACCTAATTGTAAAGTTCTTAATGTATTAATTATTAATGTATAATATAATATATTAGCATATAAAATGTATTAATGTCTATTGTGTACTTGGCATTGTTTGAAAACCTCTAAGCACCAAACCAGCATAAGCCAATTTTCACTAACATGAAAATTCTGTTTATTTAAGGTTCTTTTGGTTGATTTAAGGTTCAG